TGCGGCCGCCTCTGCGCGCCGCGGAGCCACCGAGCGGGCTGCTCGGGGCAGCCCTTCCTGGCTGTGACTAAAGGACACAACAGCAGCTCACAGCTAACTTGATAAGTGACGCTGCACCGCCATGTCCCTGCTCCTGTAGCCACGTAGGAGCCTCCAGTGGTCCATGAGCTACGTGGCTTAGGATGAATAATGGTGCCTCGCAGCAGCGTGTTGTCTTGGTTTGATTTCCTGCCCAAGTTAACTTGACTTGAGGAAATTGATGTCACAGTGTTGTCACGTGAAAAGCTGTATTGGCAAATGGAAGTCATACTTTCACCTCAGGCATAGAACATTCCTGCAGGTGGATTAACATTTACTTTTGCCTTCTGTATGTAGGTTGTACAAATTCTCCCATATATTTCATGGGTTTCTGTGATTTTGTGTCTCCTCATTAACACGTACAGCTTCTCTTAACTCACTGAATGTTATATTTTTGCATTTTTTTATATACTGTAGAGTCACGGTGGAAGGTAGGCAGTGATAAAAGAAGCTTGCCAGAAAATACCATGTCTAACTGATGGCTCCACTTCTCCTACTTTTAGTCAGGAAGTGACACTTCAGACGTTTCAGAAGAACTTTCTACACGAGATGGAGAGGGAAGGTCCTCAGGAGAGACAGCATCTGATTTGAACACTGGACCCAAGGGCTCTGCTCTTACTGACACTCAGTTACAAAGGCAAGAAAGACCAACAAGCACTTGGTCTTCTTCCAGTGTGGTGGGAGAAGCAGTAAAAACTATGCAGCACTTCATGGAGAAATTCAGCCTGGACCTGTTCACTGTTACCCAGGCCTTTCTGAAAAACACTGGTGAAGTGGAGAGTACTTTATACTTTCTGCAGACAGGGCAGCGCTTGGATGGGTACCCTGTATGGAGCAGAGAGGATGATTTGGAATTGCAAAAAGATGACGAACATGTCAGAAATAAACTGATAGCCAAATTTGGAGCTGAAAATGTAGCAAAGCGGGTGGCCTTTAGGAAAAGTTAGCAAGGCAGAGGGGAATGACTGACCTAGGACTGTGGCAGGAACTTTAAGTCATTTCAGAAATGCAAATTGGATGGAAAATGTGATGCAACATTCCCAACTTTCAGCAGCACTTTAAAATAGTTTTTAGATAAAAGGCCTGTTTTGTATTTCATTTTTATTTGTAATGCCAAGTAAACTAAACATTTAAAAGTAGAAAATGGTGAAGTGGTGGTTTTATACAGTATCAAGTTTTCACTGAAAATTTGCTTTAAATGTTTATCTACTGCATATACTTCTACCTGAACATTGCTGCACGCAAATGATTTTGAACAGGGTTGGCACCAAAATCTGACAGGATCACATTAAGTCCTCTAACCTGTCATGCATTGTTGGAACACAGCAGCCTGCTCCTTGTCATGCATCTTATTTCAAACTGTTGCGAATTAACGTTTAATAACCTGCTCTGGCAGTTTTCTTTACCTTTTTTTGTTGTTGTTAATGAGCCTTGATTAGCAGCAGATATTTGGAGATGGTAACAATGAAAACTGATCAAAAAGAGGGATCAAGACCATTCATGGCAGACGATCAGGTCTCATGCACAAATGCTGACATGTCTCAGAGTGGCCATATGTACTGAGAATGGCCAGGAAAAGGTCACTCTGATGTTATAATATTGAATCTCATGTTACAGAGATATGTCAGTTCAAACCTAAGGCTGGTAGGTAGTCTCCGTTTTTAGTACTGTTTCCAGCATGTGTTCACCAGTCATATTATTTCAGGATATGCTTAATAACATTAACTTGACCATCTTGCTTCCTGTTCTCTGTGCTCCTTCAGTCCACTGAGAAACATGTTTTCCCAGTTCCAGTATTTATACCAATGGACTCTGTGTCCTTACCTTGTCTTTATGGTCTCAACCTTAGCATAAATTCTCAGTTACATCTGTGGACTATGAGATATCCATGGGGAACAACTATTCTTTGTTTTGAAAGCTGAAAAATAGATTGATTCAAACAATCCCAGAACTAGACTCCTGTATGCAAGCCCAGGAGGTTTTATTTTCAACTGTAGCTGGTTTACACCATTTTCCCATTACACAGTGAACATAAACATGTTCCTAACATTGCCATCAAGGCTGGATGCCCAGGCACAAGAGTGGAGCAAAAGACAAACTGTGCTAGAAAACCCAACCATTCTGAAAAAAAAAAAAAAGGATCTTTCCAGAAACCAATATCCAGGCAGCCTTTGCATCTCTTCTGGTATCCTGGATGGAAGCGTGGAAAATAATGTTCTCTTTATTCAGCTTCCATGTATATATCATACCCTCTTTCTTTGCAGTGCAATAGCTGCGTATGGTTTCACTGTTATTTGGCTGTGGTCTGAGGGGTTTGCGCTCTGCTCGCTACTCCCACTCCTTTGGCATTCTCTTTGCTTCACTCCACACATAATTCCTCTTTTGCATAACCCATGGCCTTAATTTGGAAAACAGACTTGGATCACTTCAGCCTGCATTGTGGCTGAGCCTCCAGGGGCCTTGGAAAGTCACTCTGAACTGCTGAGAAAGCTCTTAGGAGCGCAGCCAGGGTACCTCTGTTACTTGTTCTGCCAATGACCAGGCCCAACAAAAATGATACAGCCAGCAGGAAGATGAACCAATACACAGACTCTATTGTAAGCAAAAAGGACATTCCATGAATGATCACTGGGGATATAAACAAGTCAATCAGCTGGTACATAACTGATGCCACCCCCAACGATCCCACAAAGGACATGACTCAGCCCACAACAGGTGGTACAAACAGAGACCCGAGGTTGCCCACAGTTGGCATGGGAAACAGCCAGACCAGCAAGCTGAACACATAAGAGAAAGGTGCCCACATGGTGACTCTCACCCGATCAACCCGCCTTTGCAAGGGCCTAGACAGACCAGGGCCCAGCTCCAGGGAGAGTCAGGAGGTCTGCCCTGAACCAGGAAGCTCTGTGGAGTGCACTCCACAGACAGACACTCCTGACTCCCTGACAGTGGTCCCAGCTTTTATCCCCAAGCAGACACCTGACCTTTGTCAACTCAATGCGGGCCCCTTGGGCCTCGCCCGGCAGGCCCGGCCACACCCTGGGGGGAAGCTCTAAGGCAAACTCACCACCTCTGTATGAAGGGCTGTGGGAATCACCCATATGTCAACCTTAATTCAGGGCTCGGGGTTCAGACCCCAGCATTTCACTTTTCTTTGTATAGGACATCCATGCACACACTCTTAAAACACACAAGCATGCAGCTCTGTCCCCTTTTGCTCAAGTAAACAGTTCTCCACTCTGTAGCCTTCAGAGAGTAGGTTCCTAGAGCAGTTTTTCTGCTTTCAAAGATTGCTACTCAGGGGAGTTCTGAGCAAACAAAAGATCCAGGGACATGTTTTTTTGTTCTTCTTCGGACTGAAGGAGCTGGTAGCCCAGTAAATCCATTGCATCCTTGCACACATTTTGTACTTTTTCTATTTTCTGGAAGGGAAGGGTCTTCCTCCAGGCCTGGGATACGCCCAGAGCATCTCTGGACCCAATATCAAAGGCCCGTGCTCCTTGCCCCTTCCCATGGGTGATGTTGTGCACCCACTTCTGAAGTTCTGGTGTGAAATGGAGTTCTGCAAACCTGTACATCTGGGCAGCCTTTGCTAGTGGGTCTCTGACAATGTCTTCATAGCGAACCAGCAAGTAGCGGTCTTTCAGGAAGCCGGGAGTGGCCTGGCTGCCTGCCTTGTAAATCTCAACATGGCTTTTGCAGATTACTTGCATTGTGTTGTAGGGCCCCATTTCTCCCCTTGTCCCCTGGGGCCCCACAATAATGTTGGTGTCACGTTTCAGGTCTTCCATTGTATTCTCTCGGGACCTGAACACAGCTCGAGGGTCACGGACCAAGTGAATGATTTTGAGGTTCAGGGATGGATCGGTGAGAAGGGGGTAGAGGACTCTGAGGTCCAAGAACCGAACCTCCTTGATGGCAACATGGCTGTAGGTTTTGCAGGCTTCCTCCACCTTGCTGAATGGGTACTTGCCACAGATTGTTCTGCAATTGCCTGCAGGGATTATGTCACTGCGACTGAATGAGTCGCAGGCAGGGGGAGAGCACAAGGCTCGGCTTGTCTCCCACTGGAATAAATCAGACTTTTTTTTCTGACTAGACATGTAAGCATCAAACACAGACATGTCACACAGAAAGACCGACCTGACTAGGTCCCGTACTGCCATGTGTAAGACTTTGGCACTGTTCTGGTACATGGTAACCCACACGTGCCATGCAGGCTCCATCAGGTAGAAGACACTGGGGTGCTGGCTGAAGATTTGTCCAGTGAAGGAAGATCCTGACCGCCAGGAAGAGAGAATAAGGACGTGGACTGGAGAAGGTTTTTCTTCCATAGGGACATGGTTGCTGCAGGGTAGGAAGTGGAAGTGAAACAGAAGAACGGAGAGAACTGCCAGAATCAGAAGCACCTGCACACTTCTAGACTTCATCATGGTTGCAAGTGACCTGGAGAGACAGAGGAAGTTCAGCATCACAGGATCAGGAAGAAGCCAGGGTGTGGTGCATCAGGCTCCTGCCAATCCCTCTGCAGATTCAGGGGTTTGAAATGCTGCCACACTACCAGGGATACTGTGACAATCACAGCAGAAGGTGTCTTTGGAAAGAACATAAATGCTGCAGGGTTGAAAGTTTTCTGTAACAAAACCAGTTTGTCAGTAACCTATTGTAATGCAGTCTTAGAAGATCACTGGAAAGCTTGTCTGAACTTTTAGCAATGTTTAAGATTCAGTTCAGTACACTGAAATGTCAGCATGCACAAATATGTACTAGGTGTATACAATCCCTGCAGACACAAGCCTGGCAGTTTCTATGGAGGGAAGATGGAACAAACAGTTCTTGTGGAGAGTTCAACAGTTCCACATTGTTACCTTTAAACTCCTGCTCTGACTACAATTTACAATTATTTTTATGCCAGAATGCTGTAAAAATACAGTGTAGGTTTCAATTTCTTTTGCTTGTATTCTTTTTAGAATTTCAGGAAACACTTACCGTTATCATGGGCAAAATCTCACATACCAAAGGAAATCAGTTGTCACTCTAACAAATCCAGCCACAGCAGTATCTCCTCCACAATCAGACCATCATAAGCAAGTTCTCTAGAAAGGCCCACAAGAGTTTCTCTCATCCATCCTTGTGTAGGCATTCTTCCTAAACCTATAGCCTAAAACTAACCTATTTCTGGGCTTAACTCCTTTTTAAAGATGATCTCCTCCTACCCCTCCCATCCTGTCAGTCTTCTATGAGAAGAGGTGTAACACAATGTGTTAGTCCAGCTCAAGGGCCTGTCCAAAGCTGGTTCCTTGTTTCTCAGGCTAAAACTCTATTTTACCTGTTGAGCATGACTTCCTTACTCGAGAATGTCCATTGTGCTGCCTGCGGACAATTCCTAGCCTGAGTGCCAGCTGGTGCAGGAGCCTGCAGGAAGCACACAGCCAGGTATGGGATCTGAGGTTGGAAGGTTTCACTTGATTTTAAAAAAGTACTTTAAAGCATGGTCTGCCAACTGTTCCTCGTTTGTGCGTTCTCCTCTCCTCCCCCAGCCATATCTGGGTGTGCCTCGTAGATAGGTGGGCGCCTGCTGCTCTGGCCACCCCTGGGGACATACAGCACGGGAGTCTGTGCAGGGCGGTGTGCCCTCTTGTCACCATGTGCCAGGCTGGCAGTTTTGCTGTGCTGCCATGGAGATAGGCCTCTCTGGCCACTGCAACTGCTCTGCATTTCCCAAGCTGAACTAAAATTTAAAAATCTTGCTGGTTCACAGGCATGGTTATTCCTTCCAGATACTTCCACAGCCGGACAGGATAGAGAAAGCATGGCCTTCGGGGCTGCAGGGCAAGCTAGAAGTCCTGGACAGAGCAGCACTGGAGCTCAGGTCCTTAAGCTTTGTACATTGCTTTTGTGCAGCCCATGATTGCACTGAATTCAGGCAGCCATGCCCATGCAGGGCAGCTGCCTCGCTGCTAAAGCAGTAGAGGCCCAACTGACCACAATGCAGGCGCTTCTTCCCTCCTGTGTGCTTCCCATGTTGTCTTCTTGGTGCATGGTAACGCGTGAATATTCCCAGACAAAATTTCTCTAACCTACTCTTATTCTCTGCCTCAATTTCCCTCACTAGGGAAGCTTTCAGACTAATTTGCTTGAAATTGCCTCCTCCCCTGATTTCAGTTCCTACATGACTGATATTTAGCTTTCCAGTTACAGTCACTGCTGCCAACCAAGTAGGAACAGCACTCATCTTTCCCTCCAGCATATATTGGCTTGCTTAATCCACCTGCTGTGCATTTATTTTGAGCTAACTGTTTATAAGGCAGCAATTATAAGTTCTCAGAGACGGGACAATACCCAGCCCAGTGGGTAAGTGTGGTTGTTGCCAGTTAGTGCTGCCACAATACAAATTTTAGTAATGTCTTGCCAAGGACAGGGTTGTGCATTTAGTGAGGGACCACATGTTTCTGGTCTCCTGGACAAGAAGCCCACTGACATTTTTGGTTATGCAAATGAACCATACATGGTGCTCAGGTCTGACAAGAAGCTGATTCAGGTCAACGTTTGGACCAAGCCTAGTAAGAGCTGCAAACAAAGACTGTTGTAAAAATAAGTCATGTATCAGCTTCCTCCTTGCAAATGAATACAGCAATGTTTACCTAAAGGCCAAAGTGAACTTTGATGATATCACTTCTATCTGGTACCATTAATATCATTATTCTGACTCCCAAACATAGTTCCTGGACTACAACCAGAAGCTCTTAATAGAGGAAAAACTGTTGAGCAGACATGAACACTGGCATTAAGATACTCAAGCATATTTAAAAACACAGAAATCATTGTTTGTTTGAAAATCTGTCTATGAATAGTCTGAGTCAAAGAGAGTAGGTTCAGGTTTTTTGGTAAGTAAGGGTGTGCTTCTATGTGGACCCAAGCTGGGGTGGGACAGCCGGCTAGTTCAGACATCTCACAGAGCACGCCGACCATCCCTGCGGCTGCTCTTGGTAGAAATGGTCTCATGCAAAGCCACAGCCTCAACAGCTTCTTCACTCTGACATAAGCAGTGATGATTGATGCTCTGACCAGCCTGTCCCACAGGGAGGGGAGCAGGACTGAAATGAGTGCAATGTATCTGGTGAAGTGAAATAGAGGAACAGCAAGGAGCAGTAGAGGTTCTATCAGACATTTCCTAATACAAGAGAAATACTAATCACATTACCGTATTTTTCACCACTGTATCTTTCAGTTGCATGAGCTGGGATTTTTCTAAACTAAGGTCTTATACAGTAAACATCCAGAGTCACAAGTGATCCAGTCCAGTTCATATTGCAGAAGTGAAATACAAAGCCTGCACAGAGCTGTAGAGTAAAGATCAGCCCAGAAGGACTGAGACAATCTCCATTGTGGAACAAAAAAAGGCACACTACTACTGTCTGCTGGCAGAGACATGAGCCAGAATTTGGCTGAGAGGAAAGAACAGGAAGAATCTCTAGGCATTAAGGATGAAGAACGGCAGCTACTGAAAACCACAAGAATCCAGTGTCACCATATTAGTCTCCCACAGCACACATACAAGAATACAAAGAAGTGGGATCTGCCTGCCTGAGCAGTCAGGGTTGCCGAAAAACTGAACAGAATTCTAAGTAAGTCTTAGCAGAAACACGCAGGGGCCTTGGAAAATCTTGATCATGGCAAAGAGAGCATTATAGAAAGCAGCAAGCAGCCCCAAGGAGGAAAAAACACCGAACACATGCTGAGCATGGGCAGCATGTGCCCAGAGTACAGGTTTGTTGAACCTGGGCATGTCTGGGGAGTGGGAAGGGTGCAGTATATGTGAGACAGTACAGCCCAAAATACCTCATGCTATGCAGACTGTAGCTGAGTGCTCTGCAAGTCTGGAGGAGATCACCAGATCCCTCACTCCTGTAGTGGCAGTAGTGTAGCAAAGAGGATCTGGTGCCAGGGAAGTCCCAGACACTGCTCTTTGGTGGCATTGATGGTTGCTTATAGTTTTATCAAATCCTCCTTCAATTTGGCCTTATCAGCTTCTGCAGAATTAGAAGTAGCACCTGCTCATTCAGAAGAGAACAAGTGGCATGACTGTCACTAGTGGGAAATGCTGAGAAGGGACACTGAGAAGACAGTCTGGAGAAGCAGGAACTACCACCTAAGCCAGACCGACTCCTTCTGTCTGCAGAAGGAATCATGTAGCAATTTACTAGCATTTGTATGTTTAGGTGTTTTACAAAAATTCCCTCTTGGTTCAGACTGCCGAGCATGAGCAGTGAATACAGTTCTGGGCAGCAGAGAGTCCATACCAGATGCCAAGAAATGGTTGAAAATCTCACCTTAACAAGTCCTCTTGAAGCACGACCTCTTTGAGGCAAAGCTTCCCTCCCACGCGTGCACTGCTGTGCCACACACTCTTCCAGGCAGACAGAAGAACAGCCGGGCACTCGTGTATTGGCACCCTGCCTTCATGCTGGCGTCTCACATACTCATGGACGCAGCTCTTACCTATCCCTCTGCCTCCTCCCTCCCGTCCCCTTCATTTGTGTATGTCCCAGCTCCGAGACTGACTAGTCTACAGTGCCCGCCTCCTCTGACCAGCCTTAAACCAGAAAACCCCACCCTGTGCCAAGGAGCAAAGTCTGGCAATGGCAGTCTCCTGCAAGGCAAAAATGACCAAACATTGCTGGTAAAGGAGGAGGGTCAGGAGAGGCATGAAGGAAACTGAGAGTTGCCTTTAGATTAAGTCCCATTGCAAGCTCTAAAAGAGACTGCTCTCTGTAAAAGGAGCAAGGGGGATGTCTGTGGAGTGTCAGAGGAAAGGACAAACAGGAACTCTTGGTGCAAGGAGGGCCAGTTTGCCCCCAGAGTGCAAAGGCAGGACATATTTGCCTACAATTGTTCTGACTGCTTGTCACAAGATCACGTAAAGTCTTTTAGAATTTTTTCTGTCTGTGCTTTGCTTGAGTTAAAATATTTGGTGGCTGGAAAAGAAAATTCTGTGGAAGGAGAAGATGTGAAAGGAGTAGCCAGTCTTGGCCTGTTAATGATTCACAAGGGTGCTGGAGCTGCAATGAGGCTGTGCCAGGTGAGGTGGTGAAGCAATGCGATGCTGGGCTCAAGAGAAACACATGATATTCTGCAACCAGGCAGAGACAATCGCTTTGGATCATTCCTATTCCAGGGCTCATGGTTTCTCTCACACTGTCTGGAGAGGTATAGACCTTCTCCTGATGGTGTCCCTTGTCTCTGAGGATCTCATTGAGCTGCTCTGAGGGCAAGTGGAGTATGGGAAACAGCAGAAGCAAAACATCTAGGCAAGGCTGGTCCCTCCAGCAGGAGGGACAACCTGAATGGGGCAGGTCATGCTCCCTTTCACTTGCTACATTGCAAACAGAGATGGTCAAGCCCTGGTAAACCTGGACAGGGAAACAAGGTA